GTAACAATCTTGTTCTTTTATGTAGAATGTGCTACACCTCTTGGAAAATGTTCTATAGGAAACCACCCTCTGATACTGCACAAGCAGTATCATTCAGAAGATTTGGTTATTGCTGGCATTTCTTCTCAAATTTACATGATGTCTGAAAAAGTAACATTCAGAAGAAATCCATCAAATGAACTGGTTGATGATTTCATGTATGCAGTTATTAGTTTTAAGCAATGCAAATATAGAAATAGTTAAAGTCTGTGGCATGATTGAATTTGGGTGGGGGATGAATGCTAGATTGCCTATGCTGCACTATTATTTTCCCTCCTCCCCCTCCTCCCCCTCCACCACTACTACTACTACTACTACTACTACTACCACCTCTTCCTCTTCTTCTTCCTACTAAAACTACTACTACTACTACAATTACCATCTGATGTCTCTTATACAAGGTGATTTCCAATGTGTTTTTATTTTGTTAGCACCCTCGACACATTTTTAGTAGATATCAGTTTAATTTTAGTACTTTTCTTTTTCACATGGCTATAACTAGGTGAAGTACCAAAAAAAAAAAAAAAAGTATGCAATGGCATCTCATTGCTTCATAATAGTGATCATCTGTAGAAGGTGTGCATGACTACAGTTAGTTCTGCACGCAGATATTATATCAAATGCTTCTCAGAAATTTCCAGTGTCTTAAAGTATAATATGTGACAAATGAATTTCCTTTTTCAATACCTTCAGGAACACAATCGTGGGGAAGAAGAACAAGGAAAAGGAAGAGGAGGTGGAAATGGTAGAATAGAAAATTAGGGTAGGAGGTAAAATTAAATCAGGACCTCTAAATTAAGGAAACCTTCTGTAATTATTGAAGATTATTCCATTTTGCAATTCAGCCCTCACCATCACCAATATTTAGGGTTATCTCCAATGGGTAAAAAAAAAATGGAGTGTACAGCCCAGTATTCCAGGAAGAGTTTTTTATCTAGTGTTATATAACTTTGCCTTCTGTCTGGAGACTAGTTGTCTTAGATATTCAAAGAAATGCCTTGCTTGAATGCTAATGTACCCACCTGTTTCAGTGCTCATGAGCTGTATAATCTAATTTTGTGTGATACAATTAGAAAACATAAATTAGGATGCAGCCAATTCCAAAGTTGGAAACGATGTTCTAACACTCATTTCAGGTTTCTTTTGCAAAACTACCAGCACATCTTGGCTTTGGAATTTGCAATTAAAGAAATCAATGAAAATTCCAGGATCCTGCCTAATATCACCCTCGGTATCCATATCTCCAATAGCTATTTCCTGGCAAGATGGATCTATCTTGCTTCTATGGAGCTTCTCTCTACAAAGGGAAGGTTCATCCCAAACTACAAGTGTGATCTCAAGGACAACGTGGTAGCTATTCTTGCAGGACCTAATTCTTACATTGCTCAGTTCATGCCAAATATTTTGAACATTTACAAGATCCCACAGGTAATATGTTTTCTGAAAAGATTGGTACACTAGAAGAAGTTTTATTGTCTGGACACAGAAAATGGTAAATAAAGAAATAAAGAAATAGATAACAATGTAAGATGCATTGAAGAATTACCTCATCTCACAGGTAAGTCCGATCCATGAAAGAAAGGTGTCAAGTCCAACAATCCATTTATACATTTAGGTGATCATTTATGTTTTGTGCAAATTGATAAACTAACAAATTGTAGATCTAGCCCAAATACAACGTACGGATATTCCTTTCTGAATGTGAGTACACATGGATATGAAATGGAGCATTTTCTCATTCTACTTAAATCTAATTTCATGGAGGACTAGATGGATTTATTCACCAAAATATGAACCAGATTCAAATTTTTAGTTATCATAATGCAGTTTTGTCCCCTCATTCATATATTCAATTAATATAATGAAGTAAAATATGAGAGTATTATTTACCTATTAAATAACAACAGAAGAATTGTAATCAAAATATATGGATCCCTTTTTTATTAAAAATATTTCTGGTCACTTGGTTGCTTGGTTTAGTTTAATTTATATTCCAAAGTTTTATCTAAATGATGAATATGATTTGTGTCAGAAACCTTCAAAACAAAGAGATAACCAACATTGCTTGATATGGTTAATATTAGAATCATTCTAAATAACAAAATAGTCTTACTATATTTCACCCAGGAAGGGACAGACAGGAATTATTCAAAATGCTAGAAACCTACATATTCCAAATCCTATGCAAAATTATTTCATTGAATGATATCTTTAAATACAGCATAATCCAATAGTTCGTATGTGTCCTTGCAGTTCATATATTTCTGAAACTTTAGAAAGGCACCATGATAAATTAAAAATAAACAATTTCTATAGAAATTATATTGGCATATGGAAATAGAAATCAACTCTGTTCTTGTTTGGAGAATAATACTACTTGCATCAGTACACATCCTCAAAAATATTTTGGTTTGGAAATATATGCTCCAATTTCTTCATTTTTCTTAGCTCATATATGGTTCAGCTGCAGAGATGGATGACAACATACAAGCTACTTTCTTCCATCAGTTATTTCCAAATGAAGATCTTCAAATTATGGGGATCATCCAATTGTTGTTTCACTTCCAGTGGAAATGGATTGGGCTCATTGTCCAGAACCCTGAATATGGAACGAGTTTTATTCAGAATAGGCTTGATATATTTTTTAAGAAAGGCATCTGTTTTGACTTTGTGGAAGAAATGCCAAAGGAATCTGTTACCAATGACATTGAGGTGCAAGTTAGTGGCTATGTTATGATGTACAAGGTTATTATGAGAAGTACTGCCAATGTTGTGATCATATATTGTGAAAATGAGGACATGCCCGTTTTTAGAATGTTTCCATATATTTCAGAATATGAGGACCTGCCAATAAAGAGAAAAGATAAAATTTGGATAATGTCAGCACAGATGGAATTCACATCACTCCCTTTTCAAAAATATAGGGGTCTGGACTTCATCCATGGTGCACTCTCCTTGGCAATTTCCTCAAAGGAGATATTAGGGTTTAAGAATTTTATTCAGGTGAGAAAGCCTACTTCTGAAGAAGAAGACAGTTTGACAAGACTGTTTTGGGAACATGCATTTGACTGTTCTTTCCCAAATGCTATGTTAGATGAGGACAGTGGCAATGAATGCACTGGTGAGGAGGCACTGGAGACTCTTCCTGAATCTGTATTTGAAACTACTATAACTGGGCAAAGTTATAGTGTCTACAATGCTGTCTATGCAGTGGCCCATGCTCTGCAAGCCATGTTTTCATTCAAACCCGAACACAGAAAAAGAGGAAATGCTTGGGAACTCAGGACTCTAAATCAACAGTCATGGCAGGTAAAATGGAAAGGATGTAAATATCCCTTTATCCAAAAGCTAGTCATACAAGTGTTCAGCTGGCATTTTGGGATGTAATGAGATAAGATCAAAGTGATATGTCAGTCCTTCAAAGAGGGTGGATTTTGCCTTAATAGTTCAGGGTCATACTATACCTAAACATGGGGTGTAACAATGATGAGAAGGAGGCAATATCAAATGTTAACTGAAGAGGAAAATAAGTTTTCAGAGGAAGACAAGGGTGATGGCATAATGCAGTGAGGAGAGTATGAGATGGGGAATACAAAAAAAAGAGAGGATGACATTGAGCAGTGATCAACAGGCAGGCCACACAAGGATGAAGAGTGTTGTTTCTTTGTTCCTGATAGGCAAGACACATATGACATTTGTAGTACACCACAGTTCCAGAGCAATAGAAAGAAAGCAGGATTTCATGAAGGGTTTCAGATGGCATGGTTGAAATTATTGCTTCATGCATGCGTGGGAATGCTAAAAGAATTCTAAAAGTAATGTAGAGGAGTGCAGAGATGCCCTGAACAAGGGACGCAAAAGTGATCAGAAGGACTGTTAAGAGAAAGCAAATGACAACTTAGTCCTGGGGAAGGAGGGAGTGTGAGAAAAAGACTCCAAATAATCCTGCCTTAGAGGGAAACTCTAGCAGGCTTTCAAATTTCTGTTATCATACCCTAAAACAGTAAAAGTCGACTCTGCACTGTGTTTGCTGACTGGTCAGCCTCAAAAGCTTATGAAGGATCCTTCATTCATACTTAATACATAATACTCATTATTTCCAATCTTTTAAAATTCCTATCAATTCTTTCCATTTAGTTTCATTGGTATCTGAGAACTGTTTCATTTAACAACAGTGCTGGAGAAACGGTTTCCTTTGGTGAAAGAGGAGAAAAAGCAACTGGATTTGATATTATCAACTGGGTCACATTCCCCAACCAGTCGTTTGATCGAATCAAAGTTGGAAACATAGCTCCAGTGGCTCCCCCAAACAAACTTCTTACTCTTTCTGCAGAGGAAATACTCTGGCCCACCATGTTTAACCAGGTACTTTTGATGCCAATATCAAACCATGGGAAATCATTTCTTTTAACTCATTGGTTCAATGTTCTGACAGTTTCTTCAGGAGTTACAGGCACAAACTGACTATTTTCTGAAAGTGACTCATGAATATGATCACCATAAAATTAAAATATTCAGGTGGTGATGGTTATGGGACGTTTTGACAGGGGCCAGAGAGCAGGCCATTCCTGGAGAAGACAGCTCTGGTGTCTTGTACTGTTATGTTCTGGCCCTCTGGACTCAGGCCCAGGCCCTGGTCAGCAAACCCACAGCAGCCCAGGCTTTCAGCTGCTGCTGATTAATGCCAGGACAGTTAATAATAAAGCTCCCCTTATTTGTGATCTTTTCAGGGAGGAGCAGCAACCTAGTAGGTATTACCAAGACCTGGCTGGGGCTAGAAGGTGGTGTACCCCTTTCTGAAATGTGCCTAGCCAAGTTTAGGGTATGGCACCAGCTGAGACCCCAGAGCAGGGGAGGGGATGTAGTGCTAGTTATTCAGAATCTCTTTGACCTTCAGGGGCACTGCTCCCCAAGTTGCCAGTTGTGAGACCCTGTTTTTGAAGATAGGCTCACTGGATCAGTTGGCACTGTTGCTACTGTACCACCCACCCTTCTGCATAGCAACCTCCCTGCCTGAGCTGCTGGAAGCCATCTCAAGGCTGGCTGTGGAATTCCCCAGGCTTATGGTCTTGGAGGACTTCAACTTGCCATCCCTTGGGCTGGCATCAGAAGCAGCTCAGGAGTTCATGGCCACCATGAGGTCATGGGCCACTCCCAGGTCATTCCTGGCCGGAATCAAAAAAGATCAAGAGATGTCTACAGTGCCGCTGGAGGAAGATGGGGGATAAGCCCCTATTAAGGCCTACCTCATGGTGATAAGAGTGGTGAAATGTCATTATTTCTCCACTCTTATTGCATCCACAGAGTGCCACCTGGTGGCCCTGTTTAAGGTTACCTGGACCCTCCTGGTAAGGGGGGTTTGAGGTTTACCTACAGGGCCACGCAGAAGAATTTGTTGAAAAATCTGGCAGATAAACTCACTCAGATCCGTTTCCAGTTGGAGACCAAGCATGGTGCAGATCCTTCGGAGATGCCTGGGGAGCAGATTTGCTCTGTTATCTGGGAATAGTTTGATCCTGTTGGGCCCAAAGAAGTGGACAGGATCCTCGGGTCTGTAAGTGCAGCCACCTGTGCGTTAGATCCATGCACCTCCTGGTTGATCAAGGCCACCTGGGAGGTGATGTGTGGGTGGGTTCAAGTAATGGTTAATTCGTCCTTGAGAGAGGGGGTGTTCCCAGCTCCTCTTAAAGAAGCACTGGTTTGTTCTCTCCTCAAGTAGCTGTCGCTCAACCCCATTGTTCTGAACAATTTCCGTCCAGTCTTTCACCTCCCCTTCTTGGGGAAGGTGGTAGATAAGGTAGTGGCACCCAAGGATCCTAGATGAAATGAATTACCTGGTCCCCTTCCAGTTGGGTTTCAGGACTGGATATGGGACCGAAGTGGCATTGGTTGCACTTTTAGATGATCTCTGGTGGGACTGGGATGGGGGTAGTGCATCCATCCTGGCTTTTCTTGACCTCACAGCAGTTTTCAGTACCATCAACCATGGTATCCTTTTGGGTTAGCTGCGGGTGTTGGTGGTGTGGGACATAGTTTTGTGCTGGTTCACCTTCTTCCTCCAAGGCCAGTCCCAGTTGTTGTTGATAGGGAGAGATCCAGCCTGCGGTCCCTGTTGTGTGGGGTGCCACAAGGCTTGGTGCTCTCTGCTCCTTTTTATCATCTACATGAAGCTGCTGGGCGAGATCATCTGTCACCATGGAATGAAGTATCATCAGTATGTGGATGATACTCAATTATACATCTCCACCCCAGGTGGATTAAGTCATGCTGAGGTGGTTCTTTCACGGTGCCTGGAGGTATGGGTGTCTTGATGGGGAACAACAGGCTTCAACTGAACCCTGTTAAGATGGAGTGGCGGTGGGTTTGGGGCTCTTCCATATCTGGGGTCTTACCATCTTTGATTCTGGATGGGGTGTGCAATCTGGGGTCCTCCTGGACTCACAACTTCTGCTCGAGCAGGTGGTAGCCATGGCTAGGAGGGCCTTTGCTCAACTCCATATTGTGCATCAGTTGCACCCTTTCCTGGATTGGGAGGCCCTTCTTTAAGTCACTCATGTCCTGGTCATCTCCGATAAGGACTATTGCAATGTGCTGTACATGGGGCTACCCTTAAAAAGTATTCAGAAGCTGCAGCTGGTGCAGAATGCGGCAGTGCGGGCAGTTATGGGCACTTCTAGGATTGCATATATAACACCTCTGCTGTGTGAGCTGTATTGGGTGCCTGTCTGCTTCCGAGTCCAATTCAAGGTGTTGGTTAGGACTATAAACCTGGAAAGAAAGTACCTACCCTCTACTGTTTGATAGCTTCTACAAGGGGCAGGATCTTTATCAGCCATTAAAATTGGAATGATACATTTCTGCAGAGAACATGATCTGGTCCACCAGTTCAACCAGGTAAGTTCTGCACTAATTTCAAAATAGATAGACTCATTTCTATCTTATTCAAATAGTGATTCAGTATTCAGACACCTTTCCACAAGAGTTCTGTAATGACTTAATTTTCATAGCATGTTTGAATATAGAGAGGTTTGCAACTTCATGTGCCTCCAGGGTGAGAGATTTCCAGAATTGAAAGGCAAGGCCTGTCTTTCAGGGTCCTGATTTTACTCCGTCAGTAGACCCAGATTTTGCACCAGCTGACATTATCATGATCTTCAGAGAAAATCAGTTTCCAAACACATTAGAAATGTTTAAGTAAGATATGATAACTGACAGATGTGATGGAATTTCCTTTTGTTTAAAACATTTTAGAAAAGAATATAAGCAAAAGTAGAGAGAAAATGTGTAAGAGAAGTAAAATACTGATAATGACATACAGATAGACAAAAATTTTAAATATCATAAAGATTACTATTTTCCAATATGTTATTAATCATGTAATCCTAAAATAGGATAGTTTTTAAAAACAAAAAACTGAAAATTTGTGTGGAGTTTTAAAATGAAAATACCTGGTTAACACAGTATAAATCACCAAGTAAAGCTATACATATATCAAATCAATACTGGAAATCTAATTTTTTATAAAATTCAAAGACAGACTCCATACATAAAAGTTCCTAACTTTGGGATGTGATACATATCCATTTATAAAGTTATAGGCCAAGAATGATTTCCAGTTACAATTATCTTCAACATTTTTAAATACAAAGCTCTTCTGGAACAAGTTCTGAATTTTCCTTCTTAATGTCCAATAGGAACAGCCCATTTCTGCTTGCAATAGTCATTGCTTATCAGGTTCTAGCAGAATAAAAATAGAAGGGAAGCCGTTTTGCTGCTATGATTGCTTTCAGTGTCCAGAAGGGAAGATTTCAAACAAGACAGGTAAGAGATCTAAAGGACAGGTTTTATTGCAATGTATTTTGTGCAACTCACAGGCCTATTTTTAAAATTGCATTTTTAATGTAAGCAGTAGTTTACCAACTCTTTAAAAAATTGTCCATAATTCAGGTGAGCTGTGGATTAATTAGGAGTCTTTTCATGTATCATGTCAACTTTTTTCTGCTTTGGAAAAGATAAACCAGAGCATAAAAATAAATCCTTTCACCTACGGTTTCTATAAAAGGAAAGAGTTTGCAAGGCTAGGTGGGATGAGCCTCCTTTCATTTTGGAGAATTCGAGTTCAGAAGGGAAATTTAAAGAAATTGTAAAGGGAAGTTAGTTAACGATACTCAAGCAAATAAAATTTCTTGATAGTGTATTTAAGAAATTTAAGCATTAATATGTCTCAGTACTGTTCTTATTAAATGTTTACTGTAAGGGAAGTAAACTCTCTGGTAATCATTAAAAGTAATAATTAAGGATTAGTTCTTTAATCTTGGAAAACTAATAAACCAACAATCAAATAAAGTGTTGAGTGTAATGGTCATACGGTTCCTTTCCCAGAGAGAGGTTCTAAACTGGTAGTGTATTCAAGACTTAAAGATTCTAGCTAAATTTAAGTGGTGCTGTGTGGTTTCTGAGAATGGGGAGCAGAATGGGGAGCAATAAAGAAAACTCAAAAGATCCCTGTCTTAATGGTAGATGTGCCTTAATTATCTTCCTCTTCTTTATAAGACAGGAATCTTTGGGCCTTTCTTTGCAGTCCCAGAACCCCCAAGAATCATAAAGGACCATAGACATTTTCCCCATAAAACCAATCATAACTTCCTTTTGCTTTATGCAGGATGACTGTCAAAAATAAAAGATCACAAAAAAGGGTTGATCAGATTTTGATATAAGTCTTCTTGACCAGAAAGTGGGCATCCAGACTCTATCATGCCTAAATCATTCCAGAATAGAAAAGACTTAGCTTAGAAAGTCACATTAGGTATTTTTCCTCCGATTCATCCAAAAACATTTAAAAATCTGACTGCAATGATTTCTTTTTCAGATGCAGATGACTGCTTCCCATGTTCAGAAGATCGGTACCCAAACAAAGCTCACAATCTTTGCATTCCAAAACGCATCACATTTTTGTCTTATGAAGAACCTCTGGGAATTAGCCTGACAACTACTGCTTTCTTCTTTTCTTTCATCTCAGCTGGGGTGCTGGGAATCTTCATTAAAGAGCGGGATACTCCCATTGTCAGAGCCAACAACAGGAACCTCACCTATATTCTTCTCATTGCTCTCCTCCTCTCCTTCCTTTGCAGCTTGCTCTTCATTGGGCAACCTAACCAGATCAAATGTCCCTTGAGACAAACTGCTTTTGGCATCATCTTTTCTGTAGCCGTTTCTTGCATATTGGGGAAAACTACCATTGTTGTTCTTGCTTTCATGGCCACCAGGCCAGGCTCCAAAATGAAGAAATGGGTGGGGAAACGGTTGGCCAACACGATTGTCCTTTCTTGCTCTCTGATACAACTCTTAATCTGTATGGTGTGGTTGGCAATTTATTCCCCATTCCCAGATTCAGATATGCATTCAGTGGTTGAAGAAATTGTCCTGCAGTGTAATGAAGGTTCAACAATGATGTTTTATATTGTTCTTGGTTTTATGGGGCTCCTGACTGCTGTCAGCTTCACAGTGGCCTTCCTTGCTAGGAATTTACCTGACAGCTTCAATGAAGCCAAATTCATCACCTTCAGCATGTTGGTCTTTTGTAGTGTCTGGATATCATTTGTTCCCACTTATCTGAGCACCAAGGGGAAGTACATGGTGGCAGTGGAGATCTTCTCCATTTTGGCTTCTGCAGCAGGATTACTGAGCTGCATCTTTTTCCCCAAATGCTACATTATTATTCTGAGGCCTGATCTGAACAGAAAGGAACAGCTGATAAAGAAACAAACCTGACCTCCAGTTTTTGTTTTTATTTATTTAGTAAGCTTCTTATTCTAAACAAAACTTCATTCTGCTGAATTGCTTTCAATCTGCTAAAATTTGTTCAGAAACAATACTT